TTCATTTTTCAGTAATTTCATCTTTTAGAAGGTCAAGTAAACAACAGTGGCAATAGCATGCTATATAATCTTTGTCCTCTAAGGACAGACAGCCAAAAGCTCTGGTGCCAAGTGTGAAGAATTAGACTAGACATCAATCTAATACCTTTTTAAAAAATTAAAAATAAGTGGTGGCTCATAAAACAGTAAGTCTCGTTTTCTTGAATGGCTTATAAATTAGCTCCTAAGGCAATTCTAAAATGTTCTAAGGGACAGAAATGAATAAGAACCATTGATCTTTCCCATGGTGACAGAGTTAAAAGAGATAATATTCTGAGACTAAGTTTTGGTATGTTTCTTTAAGAAACCAATTATTTGACTGTGATTCCTTTAAATAATATATTTTTTTAATGGCTTATACTATTATCCTTTTGTTCCCCAAAATACACCTAAATAGTGAAGTATAAATAAGTCTCTGGAGACAGCGTAGAAGTCTACAATGTAGTTAAGACCACTGTGCTCTGAAATCAAATTGCCTGGGTTTGAGTCTTAACTCTGTAACTTCGTAGACATGTAACCTTGGGCAAGTTATGTAAACTCTTTATGACTTGGATTCCTCACCTGTAAATGAGAATAATAACACCTACTTGGTAGAGCCGTGTTGAGAATTTGAAGAGATGACACACATAAAGGATAATAGCCTAGCACATAACAAACATTTAATAATTGCTAATAGTATTTGCTGTTCATTACCATTATTGTTTTTTATTCTTATTTTTGGTTTTGAAAAATTAATGCTGTTATAGGTATCCCTTAGGTCAGGACTGAAGACAGTATTATTAGAATTTAAACCCAGCAACTACATCTTTTATCATAGTAACTACAGGCTAATAATCTCTAGAAAAATAATCCTAAACAAGTAAATTTCACTAGGTATCATGCCTTTGCAGACTCCAGGTTAGTACATTTAAGCTACTCTTCAACTAGGAATTCTATTTAATTGTTTTCTAGTTTCTTGAAAATTTGTGCAGGTCCCTGCAGGTCCTATCTTACACAATGTCTACGGTTCATGTGAGATATATATATATATGTTTTCATCCATGGTTTCTGGCTCCTAACTCCCATAGCCCTTATTATTTCCTAAGTGACTAAAATAATAAGCATATTTTTTGTTAAAGTATTTCGCCGTTTTGTCCTTGGTTCCCAAAGCAGCTTCGGATCGGCTTCCAAGTGATAAAGGTGAAAGATGGTCTTTTGTTAATATTGGGGCACTTTAAGCCTCAGAAGCAGGCCTCAGCTCTCTCTGACCTTCTCCTGCTCTCCTTTCACCTGTTCCTTTTTCTCCCACAAGGCAGGTCATAGAAACTAAAACTATAATCTTCCCCTGCCTTTCTGTCTCAGAGGTGGCCATCAAGAAATTCTCTCACCTATCTTGTCTGATTATAGGTCACAAGACCCCCATTTCAGAAGGCATCCTGCCCCATACCTGGGAGGAAGGAATGCTGTACAGAGAGGCCAAGAAGAATCTCAACAGATAGGCCTTGCTGAGTTTCCCCACTCAGCCTATTAGTATCAGATCATGCCCTTTTTGTCCAATCATATTTCTACACAGTTGTCCATGCTTCAATCATGCCTATCCAATGAAGTCTCCATAAAAGGCCCAAGAGGACAGTTACAAAGAGCTTCCAGATAGCTGAACACGTGGAGGTTCCTGGAGGGTGGCACACCTAGAGAGAGCATAGAAGCTCCACACCCCTTATCCCATACCTTGCCCTATGTATCTCTTCATCTGTATCCTTTGCAATATCCTTTATAATAAACTGGTAAACAAAAGTATTTCCTTGAGTTCTGTGAGCTGCTCTAGCAAATTAATCAAACTCAAGGAGGGTGTCAGGAGAACCTCAATTTATAGCCAGTAGGTCAGAAGCACAGGTAAAATAACCTGGGGCTTACTATCGCATGGGAAGTGGGGCTCAATCTTGTGAGACTGAGTCTTCAACCTGTGGAGTCTGACCCTATCTCCAGATGGATAGTGTTGGAATTGAATTGGAGGACACCCAGCTGGTGTCCGCTGTAGAACTGATTGCTTGCTTGCTGGTGGGGAGAAATCCCCACACATTTGGTCACAGAAGTGTTCTGTGTTGATTGCTGTGGTGTGAGAGCAGAGGAAAAACAGTTTGTTTTCCAAAGCAATGTCCCAGACATTTCTATTAGGCAGGGCCATGTGCCTTGTTTTAGCCTATGAAATACATGCGGTAGTCAGACCATCACTTCTGGGCCAAGACATGTTAAGAATGCCCTGTTGCCATACCCACATTCTCTTTTTCCTGGAAAATACATACTGAGACAGTGGCTTTGTAAAATGGAGGGAACCTGGATCCCGAGGCATAGGATGACAGAGTGCCTCCAATGACCCATGTTGGTCTTGGCATGGGGCAGAAGCAAACTTTTGCTGTGCTATGCCACTGATATTTAGAAGTTTGTTACTGCAGCATAACCTAGACTAGCCTGATAAATACACTGAGGTACTTCATTTTCCTGTCTATATACTACCAACCAAACGACAACAGAGGTAGAAAAGGTGGAAGAAAATGTGTACTAGTGGACAGAAGTAATAGAAGAGTTAGAGAATGCTGGAAATCTTTGGAAAATGGGAAAGAAAAAGTAGAAATACTGTTAAGACAGCAAATCTATTTTCCTTATGAAGTCCTAGATATCTTATTTGGCACTTTTGTTCTGGCCATGAGACATCTTTGCATACAGACAAAAATAATCAAAGAGCAATTCTTACCTTCGTAACTGAGCATTTTCACTTCTTAATGGTTGCATGGCCAGTGCTATTTCAACTTGGATATCTGTGTTTCCATTCACTGCTGGAAGCACAGATACATATGCCTCTACTTCTGTAACCAACCTCTGAATTTCTGAATCCTCTATAAAAGTCAGAAAAAAGAGTAAAATCAGTATTGTAGATTATTTTTAGACAAGATTATTACATTTTACCAAAAAAAAAAATCTTTATACATATGTACATACTTACTATAAATAAATTCAACTCAATTATTTATGAATTTATTATACAAATTCTATTTTCCTCTTTCCTGCTGCTTATTCGTTTAGTCAGAAGAATTGTAAAGAAATTAAGTTCGGTAAAAATTAATTTTAAATCACAGGATTATTACTGATTTTGTTCAGTTAAAGAGTCAAGTACGAATGTGGTTTACACATCTCCTAGTTCATACTTACCAAAAGAATACAGTGGCCTCCTATGATCGCTTGCTATAGGGTTTCCTACAATTGGTTATAATATTAACATTTACAATATACCCTTTGATCCTGGCATAAGCAAAAAATTTACTTTAGGTGATTAATTTGGTAAAATATTGAGTGAGGGTCTGCTAGGATAAGGTTTCATTATTTAATTAACTTCCTAAAGTAGATTTAACACAACCAGCCACACCTCATTTGATGTGATGTCAAACGGAGTACCATTTTTGTTACTATTTGTGGAGAGTGGATGTTTTTGGAGGTGGCAAACAGACACAGGTATAGAAGGGAGACATTAGTTTTTTTGTCTTTTTATTTTTGTCTCCTCATTCCCATTCAAATATTCTATGGACTGCAAGTATTTAAAATTATATATTAATCTAATATCCAAAACAGGTTGAAAATATATTCTAAAGTACAAAAATTTATCCAGTAGTTGGGCATGGTGGCTCACACCTGTAATCCTAGCACCTTGGGAGGCCGAGGCAGGAGGATCACTTGAGCCCAGGAGTCCAAGACCAGCCTGAGCAAGAGCAAGATCCCTACCTGTAAACAAAATAGAAAATATTAGCTGGGCATGGTGGCACACGCCTGTAGTCCCAGCTACTCCAAAGGCTGAGGCAAGAGGATCACTTGAGCCCAGGAGTTTGAGTTTGCAGTGAGCTATGATGACGCTACAGTACTCTAGCCGGGGCAACACAGCAAGACTGTCTCAAAAAAAAAAAATTTTTTTTTGCAGTTCCACAAGTATTTTTACATCCTGATGAAAAGTACATGCACACAGTAAATAACTGTGCCCAATTATCAAACAATCTTCTACTAATCTTTTGTAGAGTAGGTTTGTTCATGGGCTTTAAAAAAGGCAGAGACCTGGGCTCCACCACTTTCTAGGGACATAACCTTAGTCAAATTACTTAACTCTTTTTTTTTACAAGTTAATCTTTTTAAAATTATTTATTTATTTAAATTGACAAATAAAAATTGTATTATTTATCATGTACAGTATGTTGTTTTGAAATATGTATATGTTGTGAAATGGTCAAACTGAGCTAATTAACATATGCATTACCTTACATATTTATCATTTTTTTTGTGGTGAAAACACTTAAAATCTACTCTCTTAGCAATTTTCAAGAATATGATACGTTGTTACTAACTATAGTCACAATGTTGTGCAATAGATCTCTTCTATCTAACCGAAATTTTGTATCCTTTCACCAACATCTAAATTACTTAATTCTGGAAGCCTGAGTTTTTTCATGGTTAAATGGAGATAAAAACAGTACCTCACAGGGTTGTTGAGAAGATTAAATGAGATACTGTTCTCCAGGCCTCAGTTTCCTCATCTGTAAAATGGGAGCAGTAATAGTACCACATAGGGTTGCTGTGAGGATTAAACAAGATAATGCATATAAAACACTTAGCACAGTGCTGGGCACATGGTAAGTGTTCAATAAATGATAGCTGATGATATTACTATTATCATGATTAAGTATTTTATTATGTCTAAAAACATAGCAATTTTAATACACTTAACCTCTGATGGTCAACATTCATACAGCATTTTAAGATTTTTTTTTTTTTGGTCAGTCTGCAAAAGTTATTTATTTAATCAGTGCTTCCATAATCAATTACTGTGTTTTCCAAGATGACAAATGTGTAACTCATTCCAAGCAAAATCCCTTACTTTAGAATATATATACAGAATAAAAACGAATGCAACCTGGCTCAAAGACATTTTTCCTGATTTAAGGAAAAAAATTCTAAAAATAAACTGAAAGAGGCATAAAAAGTTTGGGGTTACTTCTCAAAGTGAGATTTGTTAAACAATATAACAGTTGCTTATTAAAAAAATGATGCAAAGGAAGTCTGCATCTTTTTAAAAATAGGAAAAATAATCAGTCTATTCTAGGGAGTTAGTAATCTTTAGGGGTCCTCTAATGATTAAAATTTTATCTGTACAAATTGTCTTGGCTGAATCTTTTCATGGTTCATTATCAAGTAGAATGAGCATACATTTACAAGCAAAAGACTGAATGTTTGATATTCCCTATCACATTTCAAATTCACAGGAAAGAAGGGATCAGAACCTAAAAAATAAGAATACAACAGGCCAAACTCATTTCCTTATTAGTTCAAGGCACTTCCATGGAAAATACCACAAACTCCATGTCAATTATTCTAAATTTAAATGATGGCTAAATAACAAGACATTGCTATTCAGTATAACACCATCCTACAGAAAATTATAAGAAACTATTCATCTACCTTGTTCTGCTACGAGGGCCTTGAGTTCTCCCAACAAATACTTTATAGTTCTAACTTTTTCAGCAGTCTGGTTCACATTTTTTGCCTTCTGTACATCCTTGACTATGCTTGCATCTTGCACACGTACATTTAAACCCTTTCCTTCACTTGTGGCCTCTCTAATTTGTCCTCTGGAACATTTTTCTTCATTAGTTGCCAAGAAAGCTGGCTGTGATCGAGTGGGGCTTCGGTGCGTCTGACCATCTGAATGAGTTTCTTTTCCATGACATCGAAACAGAGACAGGTATGTTTGAAAACATTTTAGTAGGTCTGCTTCCTTAGGAACTCCTTGCTGTGGCAGAATCCCATTAGTCAGGCCCAGGTGCTGAAATGTTGGAATAGCTGATATGTCTGTTTTGGGCAGGCTACATGGAACTCCAGGAGAGGTATTAAATGAATTCCTTAGAACATCAGCACAGTTCTCAGAAACTGTTTTACTTTGTGATGCAAACTGGTTGTCATTATCGGTTTGAACTTCCTAAAGAAAGAAAAAAAACAAGTTAAGCCTTCAGAAGTATAAGTACTCACTTGTAGGTATTAATTATAACAAACCAAAACCAGAAATATTAGAAAATGACTTTCTAATATTTTCAGCATAAAAGTGAGTAAGCTGTATTTCTCTTCAGCAAAATAAAGATTCTTGTTTTTTAAAGCTTAACTAGTTTACTCTGCAATATGGGAACATTATAAGGCCATGACTAAAATACCACACATGGTTTAAAGGCATCAAAAATCAGTCCACTTTGGGACTAAAACAAACATTTACACTTTGGGAAATTGTACCGTAAGAAAATAAGTTCAAACATACAAAGAGCTTTTGCACAAACACAGGTACAGAAATGGTACAGTAGTGAAAAACTGGCTATTTTTTAAATGTCTAATCATACAGGAGTAGTTACACAGACTATACTATATTCAAAAAATACACTATTAACTACTATTAAAAATTCACAGAAGGTATTTATTAAGAGAAATTTTTTATAATAAAATTC